GGGAGTCTCATCACGTCGGCCATTCTTCTTCTTGAGCTGGGCTTTGATCTGGAAGAGCTGATCTGTGTTAGCATCTTGTTGAAATTTTCTTTCCATGCTGGCCAAAGATATAAGATGCCATACTCATAAAATCAAAATAATGGTTCTAGGATATTATATTCTGCAACATCAAAACAATTAAAGAAATTACAAAAATGGAAGAGAACAGCACAGATAGGAGAATAAAGAAAAGAAAGGGTTTAAGACTAAAAATATAATGGCATGCAACACACAACCTTAAAAGTCCTAACCCCTATAGTCCCATTTGGCACACATTGTGTTACCAATCCTATTTGCCACAATTGTAAAAGGCCTGTTCAAAACTGATGTACATTTAGCTTGTGACTTTTCCATAATGAATGGTGGGTGTGTGGTGTCCACTAAAATTTCTGGTCCTCTTAAGCAATCTGTGTTCAAACCAATGATATCTTCCTCATACCCCGACACTCCTTGTAGACCTCCTCTTAGTGAGCCCATCAAACAGCTATGTTCTCCTGCCTCCTTCTTATGAATGAAATGTTATGAGTGTGAAATAGTAAATGTGGTACTGAATGATATATCTCATTCAGCAAATCCCCTCCGGTATATCATCATCCTTTTACAGTTTTTATATACTCATTTTTATAAATATGTCTACAAATCTTATTGTTGTATTCTATACTATTTTTTTCTGAATACCTTCAGATAACCAATCATGGTGATTTTGGTATCAATGGATTCCTCTCTCTCTATTACCCAAATATATCAATATGTGGGAGTTATGCAGCATAATTCCTACATATATAGCATGGGTGAGAGGTATTCATCAATACCAAAATCATTCCAATTGGTTATGTGAAAAATTACTTGATCTATATATATATAGTAATCTATATCAACATTCATTCATATATGACAGGAATGACTGAAAACTCTTCCAGCATTGTGCTTAACTCTTACTATTTGAGATATTGGAATGAAATAAATATTTTCTGGGGCAAAAAATTATCCACTTGACTTCTATCAGCTGAGGGAGAGACAAGTTAGGGGGGGTTTGGAATCTTTAGCGTTTTAATCTCAGTATTTAATGAGTAGGGTGCTGGTAAATCCACATCACACATAAAGGAGTACTTCATAATAATGACAAATAAGTCCCATATACAATATTGATGATGAAGATGTTTTAATTCAGTACGGAAATTAGGATCTGTACACACACATATTTTCTGTCGCAAAATTGGGGCCAACTACAGAGCTCATTGAAACATGTTATACTCTTGACTAGTCAGAGTGGAGAGGAGATACTTGGCGGTAAAATAAAAAAAAAAGTTTGAGTGACTGATTTGTATGCTCGAACATCAACATATTAGCAACTGATCTTATATGTATATAGCCTCCTATACTGGCTACTTAAACTAGATTTGGTGTGTCTAGGATGGCTTCTAATGTTACTACAAATGCATTGAAATATTTAATGAAGTCCAAGGCATTCCTAACCAACAAGTCCTCATTATTGGAAAATAACAATTAAGATCTGATCAAAGAGCACTCTTCATATGAGTCCCTTAGTTCCCAAGATTATGTGCATTGCCTCGCTACAGAGTCAGACAAGGCTAGTGACATAATGGCTTGAACAAGAAATACAGAATACTGGCCATTGTACCTGTGAGATTGTCCCAATATTAATTAACTAATACCATTGGAGTTACATAGAAATATAGGCATATGAATAAAGTGTTTGTGAAAGAAAGAGTCTCACCATCACTTTAACAAAAAATGCCTCCCAAAACAAGTGCACAAATCAAAAACTATAACAATTTAAACAAATAAGAGATTCCTTTAAATTACAATTTATGCATCAGATTAGTGTTTTACAAATTTTACCTACATGTGCGAACAGACCACCCAAAACCAAACGTGAAAGTAGGCGTGAGCTGCCTTACCTGCGACTGCCCCGCTGTAGTTGCGGCCCAAGAACCCAGTTTTGCGATTATTTTTAGCATGGTCGCCTCGGCACTCCATCCCGAGCCAGTCCTGCTTCCGCCCCTCCGAAATAGAACCAGCTGAGAGGAGGATGCCGGTCGCCAGCTGAGAGGAGGAGCCGAACCTCTTCCGCCGCCGGATGGAGCACTCGATCCTCTCTCTCAGACGTATTTTGGAGTTGATCCTCTCTCAGACGTATTTTGGAGATTTGCGGAAAAATGGATATTTCTTGCAGTCGGATATCATTACCGGAGCGATGGAATAATTGTATCTGATACATCTGAGTCTAAAAAATCCTTTTCGAAGGTCATGGTCACGTGATATAAAAGATGTAAACAAAGCAGCTTTCGGAGGCGGCTTCCAGGCTCTTAACATGAAGTTAACAGTACATACAGAAACTTCACACCACGAGATACCACTTCTAGGAAATTTTTGTTTATTCCTTCTTTATTTTCACCTCTCTCTCTCTCTCTCTGTGTCTTTCAAGTGGAGTGACGAGCTCCGCCTCCTCGCCCCGTGATTGGCTGAGGCGACGGCCGCGCGGTGAAGATAACAACAGCTGTGTTTACAAATACAACTCGTCTGTTGCCATTCTGCGACGCCAATTCACGGCACTTGGAAAACACTTTTATAGTATCATGTTTGCGTCGTATCAGGAAAGAAAGGGTTCTAGGATGATGTGGGTTTTGGGCGTGTTGTTTTGCCACCTAATAGCGGTGAGAGCAGGCTGTGATATTGATAAATCCGTCAGCAACCAGACCGAGAGGGACCTTCAGAACAATTTGCTTCAGAAACTCAAGCCGATTTTTGGCGTGAGGTGAGTCGCTGGCTTGGGGAAGTGTGTGTGTGGAAATGAAAACTGTTTTTTTTATTAATGTTTAGAACTTATGGAAGAAGTTGTATGAATTTATATTACAAAGTAGATCTAAATATTTTTTTAACCAATATTCCAGACTGGAAACTTGTGCAGCTAGAAGGGGACTTTTTCTGCATTATTTTCCTATAATTTTTAAAAATGGTATTATATGATAGTTAAAGTCTTATCTGAGGAAGATTCATAAAAAAAATCATAGATGCACAATAATTGTTGATATCCTTTACAGATTATCTAGTTAGGAAAACATGGTATGAAGTTTTCAGTCCCTCTCTCTTTCCCCTATCTCTCTCTTACTCTCACTATCTTTCCTTCCCCCTATCTTCCATTCTCTCTCTCACTCTCACTCCTTCCCCTATCTCTCTCTCACTCTCTCTCCTTCTCCTCTCTCTCTCTCACTCTCTCTCCTTCCCCCATCTCTCTCTCTCACTCTCTCTTTTTTCCTTATCTCTCCTTCCCCAATCTCTCCCTCACTCTCTCTCCTTTCCCTATATCTCCCTCACTCTCTCTCCTTCCCCTATCTCTCTCTCACTCTCTCTCCTTCCCCTATCTCTCTCACTCTCTCTCTTTCCCCTATCACTCTCTCACTCTCTCCTTCCCCTATCTCTCCCTCACTCTCTCTACTTCTCCTATAGCTCTCTCATTCTCTCTCCCTCCCCAATCTCTCACCTTCCTCTATTACTCTCTCACTCTCCTTCTCCTATCTCTCTCGCTCTCTCACACTCTCTCCTTCCCCTATCTCTTGCTCACTCTCTCTTTCTGCCCCTCCTCTCTCTCTCTCTCTCCTTCCCCCCCCTCCTCTCTCTCTCTCCTTCCCCCCCCTCCTCTCTCTCTCTCCTTCCCCCCCCCTCCTCTCTCTCTCCTTCCCCCCCTCTTCTCTCTCTCTCTCCTTCCCCCCCCTCCTCTCTCTCTCTCCTTCCCCCCCTCCTCTCTCTCTCTCCTTCCCCCCCCTCCTCTCTCTCTCTCTCCTTCCCCCCCCTCCTCTCTCTCTCTCCTTCCCCCCCCTCCTCTCTCTCTCTCCTTCCCCCCCTCCTCTCTCTCTCCTTCCCCCCCTCCTCTCTCTCTCCTTCCCCCCCCCTTCCTCTCTCTCTCCTTCCCCCCCTCCTCTCTCTCTCTCTCTCTCTCCCTCCCCATATCTTTTCAATATATTCTCCCCAGTTTAGTCTTGGTGAATCAAATCTCGATCCTAAGATATCATGTTTATTTGCGAAATCCAATGCTTCATCTTTTATTTTTATGTAAGGTAATCTTTCTATGCGTGAAACAGATTATTTTACTTTTTGTTAAGTTTATCTTCAGATCCCATGCAGTTGCCCATTCTTTAAAATGTTTTAAAGCTCTTTCTAGGTTATTTGTTGCTTCTGTCGTGTTTGTTTGTTAATGTTATATCATCTGCATATATTATTTTATATATGCTTCCTGGTAATTTTAAGTCTCTTATTATTATATTAAATAATATTGGGCCTATTGGGAACCACTAAGGTTCCCCAATGACTTTTTTGCCTTTTTAAAAATTTCTTGACCTGTTTTTATTTGTAAAGTTCTTTCTTTAGGAAAATTGTAGATCCTGTTTAATGAAATACCAGTAATTCCTAATCTAAACATCTTTGTTAATAAAGCATCATGATTTACTGTGTTGGCTACTTTTTCTAGAGCTATACAAGCTAGCAATGCATATTTTTTCCCTATAATTGCACTATTTATGTGTGTCTGTTACTTGTAATGCATCTATTGTACTTTTATTTGGTCTGAATCCTGTAATGTCTTCATCTGATTTATTATTCATCTTTATCCACTAATTTATTCTCTTTGTTATATTTTCAAAAATTTTCCCTGGAGTTGTTATTCTACTGATGAATTTTGTCCCTAATTGGTTATTGCCAGGTTTATTTATTGGGTTTATTATGACGTTTTTGAATTCTTGTGGTTATTCTCCCTTATTCTAGTAATGGTTAATTTGTTTTAATATTTTCTTGATTATTTTTTCTGTTACATATTTATAAAATTCATAAGATATTTTGTTTGGACCATAGGCATTATTTCTTTTATTTTTCTTATGGTTTAAATCAATTTACTAATATTTATTTCTTTATTTAATTCTATATTGTTTGAGAGGTTTAATAATCTCTCTTTCACTTTATCTGCCAATATTCTTTTAGGAATTTTACTTACTGCTTTTTGATATTTGTTTTTGAATGTTAATTTTTTGGACATCTTTGATACCAGATCATTCTCAGTAAGTAGATATTTAGTTATAATTGTTTTCCAAGTTATTTATTTATTTTCTTAAGTTACATTTTTTTCTATGGGTTTTTTAAATCTAACAAGGTACCAAAAAAAATTCCCAAGATTTTCTTTTCTCTCTTTCTGTAATTTGTCTTGTTTTAATTACTGATATTGTCTATTTTAATATTTTTTCTCTTCTAGATTTGATAAAAGCTCTATTTCTTAATTTTATTATTTTATTACATTTCTCACCCCATGGTTTATTTACATTGGTAGTCTTTTCAATTTAATGCATTTTAATCCAGTATATTTGAAAAGAATTATTATATAATTTAAAGAATTTATGTTTTCTATATCTTTGTTTATAAGTTCTCTTTGAAAACTATTCCATTCTTCTTTTGTATATCTCCATTTTTTTCGTTGGACGGAGAGACTTTTGTTAGTTTATTATCCTTTATAATTATTGGAAGATGGTCACTTCTCAGGCTTGGGTCTGTTTCTACTTCTAAATGACTTAGCGATGGTGTTGCTAGAACCAGATCTATTGTTGTTTCTGTAGCACTTTTAGGATCAATTCTTGTTGTTAAGCCTGGTGGTGTTAATAGAATTATATTATTTTGATTAGTTATTTCATATATACTTTTGCTTGTCTTGTTTGCTGATTTTGTCTTTTGGGTTCCAACTTATGTGATGGGCGTTAGAATCTCCTATTATTAATTTTAGGTCTTCGATTTTTGTTTTAGATAATATTCTAATTCTTTTCTTTTTTAGATTGTTGCAGGGCTTGTACATCAATAGAACATTTAGCCATTTGTTTTTATGGTTTATCTTCATTCCCATTGTCTCTAATCTATTATTGTATCTATCATTTAGATTTAAAGTTTTAAATTATATATAATTTTTTTTATACAAAATGCTTGGCCTCCTCCTATTTCAAGCCATTCTATTATTCCTCGTTACTTGATAATTTTGCAAGGAAAATATATATATATATTTCAACTATGTGAAATTTCATATATACCTGCTATTTCCTGCTATTCTTCTTATTAATATTATTGTTGTTTTGTTATTATTATTGTTAATGTTATTATTATTTTTGTTGTCTTTGTCACTATTATTTTTATTTATTATCATATTATTATTGCATTATTATTATTATTATATTATTATTGTACTATTATTTTTCTGTTATTGTTGATGATGATGTTATGCAGCTGTTTTCCGTCGTATTTAACTCCTTGGTTAGTGACGGAGCTTGTATTCCTTGACGGCTTCGCGCTGTGTTCTGGGGTGGAATTAGCATAAGTTACACACTGGAAAACAGACCGAAAAACTAAAATAACTTTAGAGCGTGTTTGCTGAAACCCTACGGGGCGGACGCCATATTTCACCTATACAATTACGATATACAATTGCTGTTAAATCCGGTATTACTTTTTGCCCGATAGATGTACAGTACAAATGCATTAAATCATGATTGGTCAAAAGCAACTCTTCAATATGAAAATGCGTTTCGAAAGTTTCCAGATGACCGTATCAAATTTATACATAAGGCTTCATTAGTTGTTGTTCAAACAGCAACGATATTTAATGATTGCATAAACAAAGAGTAGAACAAAGCAAAGCAGGCTAAAGCAAAAAAATGCGCTATTTACATTAACGTGTTGCGCCATCGTCGCGGCACACGCAGTCTAAGCGGATGTTATTCTTAGACAAACTTTGAACACATTTTAGTGACACGGCTTGCAAACTTTATTGATAATTATCGCCAAACATTGTAACAGTTCAATACTTATACTTGTCTCTAAATGTAATATATAATTTAGTGACCTTTGCCCGAGCGCAAAATACTTCGGAGGCCGTGGCGCAACTTCATGCCGCGCAGCTTAAAATTATTGCCCGTCCTACGTAACTACGAATACTTAGCCCGATTTCGTCGCGCGCTGTGAAGGCACACCCAGTCATTCTACTGTGGTCCTTTGCAATAGCCAAATCGGTAATATATATATATATATATATATATATATATATATATATATATATATATATATATATATATATATTTATCTATTTATTTATTTATTTTTTAATTAATACTACGTTTATTATTGCTCTAGTAGAAGCATGAATTTGCTTATTACTTGAAATTTACTTCGTGTAATAAATATATAGATTTTGCCCCTTTTCGTTACACGTTAAATAAATTGTACAAACCTTAAATTGTCGCACCTTGGTTATTACGCTTCACCATAATACGTCGTCCTCAACATAGTACTATTTCCAGGGGTAGGTATAATTCGCGATTTGTAAAACTCGACCGACACTTGTTTTAACAGCGGGCAGACACATACTAAGTGTTTTTTTTGTGGGCGAGGGCAGAGCTTTCCGAAAGATAATTATGATTGCTCAGAAAAAAAAAAAACTGTTTTACGGTAACTAGCCATTATACTTGGTATTCATTTCTTAAATTTTCACTTATGAAGCATTTATTATCGGCATTTCATGTGCTTTGTGCTGTATCCATTGCGAAACATTTCAGTGCGTTAAGATATCAATATTATTTAATATGCTTTCAGTAGAGTTTTTGAAATATTGTTTTAATAAACACCTTATGAACATTACTTTTTTTTTTTTTTTTGTAAACTCTTACCCTCTGGACCCCCTGTTCAGTCGCTCTCGGTAGAACTCTCATATCAAAGGATTATTTTTGCTTAATA